TGTCCGTTAAAAACATGCTTAAAAAAAGTTTTGACAAGCAGCTAAAAACCTCGCGCACTTTACATGTTTTTCCATTAGCATTATCCTTATGTTGCTTGTGTTAGGAAAAATGCTAGGTTAATTGCTAATACTGAATAAACTGTCTAGACTTAAAGGATATAAATGTTTCACACTAATGGCTAAACACAGTTTTCTCAGAACAGGCAGACAGTGATGAGACAACCAACAGATCAGACAAGAAGTACTACCAAAGTGATTGAGGAAGGACAATGTAACAGTTCAAGTATTTTCAGATGTCTGTGATACAACTCACTATTTTTCTATCGACAACCAGTAACGAAGTATAACAGAAAAGATAGCCTTACAGTTTTGGAGAGTTTGCATTACACATCAAGTACAGCAGAAGACAAGTCTAAGATACAAATTCGGAAGAGACGAAAAGTCAAAAATAACAATGGGGGGAAAACCAGTAAGGTTAAACATAAAATGTATAAACCACTGAAGACCATTCCGGTTAAGTATATGTACCATAAAGACTACACAGCTAAATAGCTACAAAAGAAATTATGTTACCAGCTTTTAATTTGGTATTTAAGAAAATAAAGGTTACAATGGGAATGGAACACATGCTATATTGAAGAGCTCTGAAAAACGCACCTGCATTAATCTAGATCTCAGTAAAACATAAGTTTGATCTTTTTTAACTCAATATAACCTACAGATTACTTTGAGACCAAACTTGGAAAAAAATCTAATCAGCTACCACATAGCAACAAGAACAACTATTTCTCTTTGGATCATTCTGAATTCTTACAAAATCCGCTTTCAATTTATCTTCATTACAGTTGAAGATGCTCATTTTGTCTGCCCATGTCTGCACACATATTGTTCATGACAAAATGACTGTCATAGATTTGCTAATTACCAAGTAGCTACAGAAAGGAATAAATTACAATTAAAAAGGTATTTTACATATTTCCATACTGATATGAATTTTACTTGAAAACAATTTTAAAAAAATGCTTTATGACGCACGCTGACAGTGGAGAATACAACTACTTTTATGTAGATACTGTACAAGATTAAGGTTATGATCCACTTATATTTTAAGAATAACTGTACCATTTCAGAGCGCAACAACAATGAAGACAAAATAAAAATACATTTACAGCTAATGAAATGCTGCATATAAGATAAACTTCATTATTCTTACAGGAGAAGAAAACAGTTGTAAAATAACATTATCTTCTATCAACGTTCAAGGATTCATGTGTTTGTGTGTTTGCAACAATTATTCTACACCCTCGGATTATAATCTGAAGTAGTTCCTTGAGATTTTTCAAAACCAGTTAAGAGATTTGGTTCTACCACACCCACTTGATTTAATACAGTAGAATACTTAAATCCCTTATTCACCTTTGAACCTAAGAATCTTTCAGTGCTCTAACGCGCATTCTATTGCTTCCTTTAGTATGAAAGCACATTTATTTCTCAAATATTATCCTACCCACTTCATTTAAAACAAATTAATCTATGGCTACAAACTATGCAGCTGCTGGGCCCTGGAATCACTGCCTGGCAAAATAAAATAGGAAAAAAAGAGTTTCCAAGTTTTGTATAGTTATTGCATGCTTAGAAACTGTGCATGAAAAATGCAGGTGTAACCATACTGAGAGAAGCACCAAAGTATTTCCTCAGCACTGCACTTCCAGACTTAGGATGTGAATAAGACAGTCAGTTTTGAATATGTGACCAGTCAAATTGTTCTTTAATGCATATATATTCAGAGACTTAATTCTAGAAATCATGGCAGATACCTTTAAAATATTATGTAAAATACAGATTTCCGAAATCACTTTTACTGTTATATGAATTTTCTATAGCCTCTGTAATGCAGTGAAAGCTAAGCAGCTAATCTTGCTATCTGAATCATGAATGTTATTTTTGTAGCCCCACTAAAGGGTGAAAAGTGTAGATGAAGCTGTACAACTGTTTTGGCAGCATCACTACAGGTGAACAGATCAGAAGACCTCTGTGGAACCGGTAGGAAAAAATACCCCACCCAATGACCTTACTATTTGTTACATTAAGCATCGGTTTAGGCCTCAGCTTACAATTTGAAAAGCAGGATCTTTCAATATTGAACGGCATGTCTAAGATCTTGCTGCTATGCACCCAATAGTCTTCACATTGTAAAAACAGATATAGCCTTTCTATAAATCTTGGTATAGAAATGACAGAAGTCCATTTCGAAAGAGCATGAATTTTTATTCGAGTCCCTTGGTAAACAACTTCTTCCTCCCCTCCCCCCCCCATCAGACTTGGTTTTAAAAGGTGCATGTTTAACAACAAATTAGTAAGTTTAGGCCTGAACATGGATTTTCATAAGAAAAATTAAAACAGTCAAAATTAATATTTTGCTAAATTAAAATAACTGATAAAGTCACTCACTAAGTACACAGAACCACAATTAAAGTGATAAACCTGCTTTTGACAGCAGTGATTTACTCTGCACATGTTGAGGACGGTTTTTTCATTCCCACTTACCCAACGACTTCAGCTCAATGAACTGTTCATTCAAAAGTTAGAAGTCGGGTCAGAGCCAAAAAAGCCAGATTGCCACCTCCCAGTGTATGAGATTAAGAAAGGAAGCACAAAGACTAAGTTGACTAAGAACACAGTCATCTGAACCTACACAAACCAATCTTGTTTCTGTGAATTTATGAGGTCATTCTATCCAAATACAGTATCATAAATTTTGAACTGAGGAAAAGAACCCAAAATACAAACTCATATTTAGAGGAAATAAAATATGAAAAAGGAATATGCTTCAAGTATTCACTAGTGAATCTTCCTGGTTAGTAAGAAGTACAATCGAGTTTAATCAAAAAATGACAGACATATGCAAATTAGCATGCTACAACGGCTACAGCTAAGAATCAACTCTTTTAAGGAAAGAGTTACAAAATCACAAATAAAATGCAACTAAAACCAACTAGATTGGTTCATTTTTAACCATTCCACCTTCTAAAAACTGGTCTGCTCCACAAATAGTGACAGTAATGTATAAACAAACATTACTACTTTTACCAGATTTACTGATTATTAAACCCTTATTAGAGCTATCAAAGTGGTTTCTGCAAATTTCTATGGCCTGAGAGTAAAATATTTTGGAATTGTTTTATACACTGTGTCATAATCAGTGTCAGCTGAGAAAGGACGCATAAGAGAAATCAGGGAAATATATAGGCCTGTACAGTAACACAAGTGATTAAAACATAGCATTTATTTTAACTGCACAGCTAGTACAGAAAAGTGTATTTAGAAAGAGATACTCGGTAGGGTCACCATCTCGGGAAGAAAAAAATAAAAAAATAAAATAAAAAAACCACCTGCAAACATCCCTGCCTCAGGACCAGCCCAAACCCACGGGAAACAGGCGTTTTCCCGATGTTAGTCACAGCGAGAATAATTGCACACAATGGTGATTCAAACAGTTCCAGCTCAGGGGTCCTCTCGCAGAGAGGTGCGATTCTGCTCTCTTGACAGCGAGAGAAAACTGCGAACAGCAGCACCGCAGACCTAAAAGTCTCTCCCTCCACCACTACTGGCGACTAAACCGTACTCTTCGCTCAACCGTTCTCTTTCCCAGGATGGTAAAAACTCCGGTATCGCTCCAGGGTACGAGATAGGGAAGGGAAAGGCGAAGGGAGGAGGGGGCGCCTCTCGGCTCCCCAGG